ATATATATATATATATATATATATATTTTTTTTTTTGTAAAAAAAGTCATAAACTCATAATAACATAAAAGTTTATTAATATTTTATTAATTATTCAAGTTCTCGATATAGTTAAGTAATATCAAAATGCAAAGATCTTTAATTCAAATTTTTAACATCAAATATTTGAACAATTTTAATATTAATTAGAAATTTTGAATTCAATTTAATAACATTAACAAGAGACTTTATTTATTTTTTTAAAATCATAACTACTTCACTGGTTAGTGATTTAAAGATAAGTCTTAGGATATAATGATGTCATTTGAGTCTCAAAAAACCAAAAAAAAAAACAGATTCGTCGCATATTGTATTGGACATGTCGTATTGTAGATTATATGATACGGTGTAAAAATAATGTAGAGACACGATATGTATCGTTCTTTAGGTCTATCATGACGTATAATACGACATATATAGCATATTGTACGATAGTAGTAATTATGTCTACTAGAATGAATCTATCATCCCATGTCAGACATGTGCTTGTGGGTGCCCTAGCGATAGTAGTCGGACTTGTAGNTATGTCTACTAGAATGAATCTATCATCCCATGTCAGACATGTGCTTGTGGGTGCCCTAGCGATAGTAGTCGGACTTGTAGTATTACTACCCAGCTCTTTATCTTTCTTCCATCTCAGGCTCTTCTTCTACCATTTGAGAATCGAACTAAATTGGCTAGAGCTTAGGCGGATGTTATTCATCTACCAATTCCAAACCCATTGCCCTGTGGAGATAACTGTGGCGTCAGCATCAACTGGCATTTATATGCAGATTACACAAGTGGATGGACAACGAGGATGACAATCTTTAATTGGGATGATACTTCTTTTGCTGATTGGTTTGCGGCTGTAGAACTAGATAAAGCAGCGGCCCGTGGATATCAAGAGGTGTACTCATACAACGGGAGTGTATTGAATGGTGTCAACAACACAATATTCATGCAGGGTCTTCCAGGGTTGAACTATCTCGTAGCTGAAACAGATGGAGCAGACCCTGCAAAGGATCCCCTGGTGCCTGGGAAACAACAGTCCGTGATGTCATTTACGAAGAAAAATTTGCCTGGAATCAATGTTTCTGCTGGAGATGGGTTTCCGACTAAAGTTTACTTCCATTCCGAGGATTGCTCGCTGCCTCAAGCACTTCCATCGAGTTATTCTCATAGATTGGGCTCTGCTTCAATCACTTCCGTCCTTATGGCGATTATTGTCTTGATGTTGATTCAGCAATAGCTTTTGGGATGAGGCTTGACTGCTTGTTATGTAGCTGCTGATTGGTTCATTCTTTTGAGTTGCTTGGTCAGTGACTGCTCAGTGAAGTATTTTGCACTTGTAATTACCAGAAGACGTGCAAGTCACTGTTGTTTATGCGAAGTCGGTCCTAGTTCTTCAATCCGGTGATGGGTTTTGGTTGATTGCCTGACTCGGCAGGGATGAATAATAGAGTTGTATTGCTGCAGCTGTTACATTACTAATATACTTCACAGTTTGGTATTCTGTACACATCATTGAACAGGATTTTTCAATTTCGTTCGTTGCTTTATGTTTTATTCGTCTCCAAGTGGATTATGTAATAAACTCTGATATATCTATTGTATATGTTTCTTTTCAGATTGATTTCAATACAAAATTACAATTTGGACCGGTTGGACGGATTGCACAGTGGGCCGAACTTGGACGGAGCCTGCTAAAGCATAGTTTAGAGCCTTTAGACCAAGCTTGACCGACTGCAACAACTTGCCATGAGTTGGTTAGGATTTTGGGGGTGTCTACCTTGCCCCGACACGAATCTGACACAATATAATTTTAAAATAGACACGATTAATAAATACGTATAATAAAAAATATTAATGTTTGATGCTTAAAACATAATAAATACTTTTTTTTGTTAGTCTTAATACAAACATGACACAAATAAAAATGACATAATAGAAAAATATTGATACACAAGTTAAACAACACAAATTGACACCCCTAATTTCAGCGTTATATAATTATTGGTGAAAAAATAAATGGCATTTTTGTGTATACTTAAAAATTATTTGTTTTTGTAAAAGCTCTTTGGGTAGTCAAATCATTTATAATTGTTATATAAAAACCATATTAGTTTTTTTTTCTTATTATTTTGGGTTAATCTCAAATTGTACTCTGAAAGATTATTTGAATCTTAATTTACACTCTCAAATATAGAAATTTGTATCAATGCGTACATGAAATTAACAACAATTAGTTTGCTATCTAAAACTAAATAGATAAATTACACTTAGATCCTTTTATTCTTGTCACTTAATCACTTAGATCTCTTATATTTGAAATATTATACTTGTATCCCTTGAAAATTCAAATATGACTAAAAATATTTCTCCAGTTGGGCATTCAAATAATTTTTTTCAAATGATGTATTGCATTAGATATAAAGAATATTATATAAATACCTGAATTTTATTAAACATTTAAATGGTAAGTTTGATTTTGAACTTTAGAGTATAAAAAACCCACAAAATAAATAGTAGTGTAAAAATTATAATTTTTAATTAGGATAAATTTTATTTTTTAACTGTTATATTAACAAATATCAACGACGAGTTATGTGTTACATGTGCACAAACGTCAGAAAGTACGGGAGTAATATTCTGAATGTGAATGATCCAAATAATTAAGTGACAAATTTGAGGGAGTCTTGGTGTAACTTACCCAACTAATTTTAGATGACAAATTAATTGTTAGCTTTAGATGCGTATTGATACAAATTTATATTTTTGAGGGTATAAATTGATATTTAAACGATCTTTCAGGGTACAATTTATAATTAACCCTATTATTTTTGATATCTTTAAATTTGTCAAATTATAATTAAAAAAAAATAAGGAATTGATACAATAGGTTCGGCCGTCGGCCTTGGGTCAGGAGATATTTCCAATAGCTAGACTTGGGCTAGGCAAGTTTAGCCTAGAGTCGTGGCCCAGCCTGAATGGGCACAACCTGGCCATGAACAAACTGGCCGAGCCTAGTAGAGCACAGCCTAGACCGTGAGCACCCATAATCCATGTATAAGATAATTACTAAGTAAATATTCATAAGTAAATATTCAATGTAACGGTGAAATCATATAATTACTGCAAGAGGCAAAAAATTGAGGTTATCTCCTATTGGAATTGAAATGGTAATGGGATTATGAACTTGATCTTTCAATCTTTCTCTTCCTGCAAAACAAACACACTGCACAAGATCGAAGTGTTTCGATCGAAGACACTCCAACGCTTAAGTCAGTAAGGATAATGAAATGAATGGAAAAAAAGGAGGATTTAATGTACCTTTCACATTGGTCTCTTCTGCTTTTTATAGGTCGTTCACTCCTTAGAGTTTCCATGAATTTAGGTTCAAAGTGACACACCTTCTTTTAATTCAGTCATTTAGTTTGGGAATGTGCTGATATTTCTCCATTATTTTCTCTTAATATCTTCAATTTCTTTGATTAGCTTATCTGATTGCCTAAGTTATAGGTGTATCTTTATCCTTTTCCTTATCTAAAACGGCTTAACCATATCAAACGCCGAGCACACTTGATATTAGTCGAACAGATTAAGGGACTTGGTTTGACAAAAATCGACCTCTTCAATTGCCTTGCTGAATACTTTAACGGACTTGGCTTGGCACAAGCCGAGCTCTTTCATTGCTTAATCGAACAAACTGATGAGTTCAGTCATGAAGAGAACCGATCTTTTTCAGCTATTGCCGATCCTCTAATTAGCTCGGCTTGGTTAGAAAGCTCTAGTAGAGGATTCTTCATCACATGCCTAGTTTTATCAACATCACGTGAGCACATTTAATTCAATGTCACGTGTAATCATGATATTTTACCCTTTCATTTGCCCCCAGAACGTCTGATAGATGTTTTTCGTCTGTCAGCCATTTTTTCTCCTTCTCATCATCATTATTTGTACTTTGTAACATCCTTTTTTATTCTGACGGCATATTCAGGGCATTTCAATACTGCCCTTTAAAATTCCCTGATCTTTATACACCAACTTTCTTTTTGTTTCATTCACTTTGCCTTTTTGCTTCCAAACTTACTTTCTTCCTATGTTTTCTTCCTCTGAACTTCGTCTTCTTCAATGACCCCTCTTACTCCCTCAGAAGTTCTCCCCTTCAAAATCAAGTATAACATTCCAGACGATGTTGAGGTTAGGGTTGCTAGAAAGGATGAGCCTATAATTGGCACAAGAGAGAGAATCCTTATTCCTACACGTGCCATTACCGAAGGTGGGATTCATTTTCCTCTTGACCCTCTATTCATCTGGGTTCTCTCTGTTGCGAAACTCTGCCCTCTCCAATGTTGCCTTAACTTTTTTTGGATTGTCATGGGAGTGTCTTCCTTGAACAAGTTTGTGGGTTTAAGTCTTGGATTGTGGGAGATTTTGTACTACTACATCATCAAGGCCGCCGGAGATAGCTACTACCTCTGGGTGAGGAAGAAGGAGAGATATTTGGTAACTCACCTTCCAGATTCAACCAAGGGCCATGAGAATGACGTAGTGTTTGTCTCTAGTAACTGAGAATATGCTTCTGGTGTCACTCCATCTTATTGCTGCCCCTACGAAGAAGGCATGTCAGGTATTTGATATCTTTTGCCTTCTGTTATAACTTTGATTTTCAATTTTCCTGATTTTGGGTTTTCTTCTGCACAGGTGAAACTGTGAAGGGAAGGATTGTTGAGTCCTCAATAAAGATGGATCAACTCCAAAAATTTTGGGATTTCAACGAATCACTGTTTTGCCGAGCCGCCCACACGTTGCTCGGATACATTCCTATATACACATCATTTATTGTCGTGCCGAATTGACCCAACGCCACTTTGGCTACAGACCGTGAGACAATTCAGACAGCTTAGGCTCAGACTCCACGAGCCAAGAAGAAGTCTTCCCTTGCAGCTTTTAGGTGCGGGACGGTGAAGAACTTCCTTGATTTCCTGTCAACCATTGAACCGACTCCCTCAATTGAGCCAACTCTAGCTACTTCAATGATTCCGATTACTGTTCTTGACGAATCAATTCCCGAAGTCCTTCTTGAGGTGATTCGTTCTGAAGCCAATGATGCAGGTTTGCGTTTGAATGATCAAGCCGATTTGCCTTCAGCCGCTGAAACTTCTGTTCATGTTGAGATAGATCCTCCAGAACCTGTTCAGTCTCCTTTTCAAGAAGATGACTCAATCTTTGAGCTCGCTGATGATTCAACTCCAAAGAAGAGAAAGATCTCAGAGACTAAGGTGAGCCTTTCCCTTGTACATGTGAATCCTCATTTTAGACCAATCCTTAGAGCTAAAAGAAGAGAAATTACTGCAAAAATTCTGCGATAGATGATTTCAATGTTGTAGTTGGAATTGCTCGGGGGGTGATTTTGTCTCATGACTTGGCAATGAACGAGGCCCTTACTGATGATGAGGTGTCTCTCGTCAGGCCATTCAACATATGATTTTGGTAAGTCTTGACTCTGACTTCTCTTAAGCTTTTTACCCTTGAAAATTTTTCTAAGTCTTTTCTTTCTTCGCCTCTTTAAGGGTTTGTAAAAAGTCCATGAGGTCAAAGCTCAGATAGTTCAGAAGGATAAGGCAATGAAGGACGCAATCCATGCCCGAGCTTCAGCTCTGGCAAAGAAGGAGAGTATGGATGAGGAATATGCCAAACATTGCGAAAAAAATGAAGGTTTTGCAGGCTCAAAATCAAAGCGTAACAGAAGAGAACCAGAAGCTTCAAGCAAAGGTCAAGGAACTAAAGGAGTCCGAGCATGAAGTCATCGTGGAGCTCATACAATCTCAACTCGAGTACTCCAACCTCCTTGAAGAATTTGAACAATTTAAATCTGAGGCAACAGAAAAGGAGGATGCTGCATATAATGAAGGTATGGAAAAAACGGAGAATGACTTGGCTCTGCAAATTACTCAGCTTCAGAAGGCATTCTTTAGCAAGGGCTGGCAGGGCGCTCTAACTGCTGCCGAAGTCGTTCCTCTTTTGAACTGTTTTCAATATATTCGGCTCCGAGCTCCTCTCATCCTCCAGCCCCTCCAGACACTTAGAAGATCTTTTTTGAACTTTCTAATGTACCTGCAATTTCTGATGTTTATAAGATCTTGTACCTTTTGATGTTTTAAATGAAATCGACTTTTATCGTTTCTCTTTCACTTCTTAGAACGTTGAGCAAAAACTGATTTTCATATTTGGAAAAATTTCAAGTCT